AACCGCAGAGTACACACTTGACGTTCTTGTTAATTTTGTCTGTCCATGGACACTTCTTGGTGTAATGCTCTTTAGCACACTTAACACACCGTGGAGTCCGATAGCAATAATTGTGTGTGTGGCCGTATCTTTTGCAACGTAAGCACTGTACAATTTCTCGCGAAAAACATTTGGCTTCGAGTTTACTTTAGTACTACATAAAAATTCGATCTTGTAAATATCTTTGTTGTTACTTTTCTATTCTAGGCCCACTGGATACTTCGATATTCTGCTTCTTAAAGGTGAGATATTTACTACTTCATGCCTCAGTTTTTTTAAGCCATTCCTAATTAAGTCTTGGTCGGTGCTGTGATAGAGATTTTTGAAGATTACTTTGAAGTGCTTTTGCTTTTATCTTGGAATGAATTCGTTTGAGTGTCCCTTTCCTTTAAAATTTTTAATATTTTGTTATACAGATAACTATCATTTAAGTTGACTTTTATCTGGGTGTTACTGATTTTTACTGACCATTTTTAATCTGTAAAAGTTTTGGGCTTCACTTTTCAAAAAATTCAAACTAGCGGCTTTATGCCTCCAACGTCGTGTATGTATATTGGAGAGGCCTGATTTTAACAGGTTGTGGGCCAGCCTGTTTCGGCAAATTATTTAGAACTTCGTAGTAATTATTGGTTGGAGTAGTGTTTAACCAGTATTCCTTCGTAGTTTTCGTTTGAGATGTAGTGAAAGTAGAACACTCTGCATCATAGGTTTTGTGTTTTCTGTTGTTTGCTTCGACTGACCACTCGTTGTCTGTTTCGACTCTGGTAAACATGATGTTTAGAATGTCAAACGTATGATGTAATGGCAGGTCGTCTTGGGTGTAAATATTGTTATCGCGTAACATCTCGATGTCGTTTTCCATTCTATTTACTGGAATATTCAATATACAAATTTCTTAATTTAATACCTATTTTATTTGTGTCGACTGTGCCTGTTTTCAATATTTTTCGAATTGTTTCTGCGTTAATTTCAATATTTTTTCAATGTTTTTACTCATCTTGGTTTTGTGTTTGGCTTTTGCGTTAACTACTGATTTTTTTCACTTATGTTTTCGATTACATGAGCAATTATTTATGTTATTAATGTTATATAGTGTGTGTATGGCATTTCAAACGCAGACTCCGAATTCGTTGGGTTGGTTCCCATCGTACTGGAATGCATTTCACTGTCCGTAGGCACGGTCACACATATCACTTAAACGATATGATAATATTCACAGTATTATTGTTTATCACTTTGATTTATTTATTATAAATAAAATGTTATCGAAATCAAACTCGGCATGTCCCACTAGGGGACACTCGCTTGAACTGTAATAATAGAAATTATGTCAATAGCACTACACTGCAAGTAAACATGTGATGTCACTGCACTAGTTTATAATTTGACTTTTCGATCGGTTGGCGGGTGAATGACATTGCAAAAAAAGAAGAAAATCATTATGGTAATCAGCACATTAAATGCATAAAAGCTATAGTATACTCATATGTACTTAGTAAATATACTCTGTTACTGACTATTTTAATAACATTCTCAACAACAAATTTTATAAATAGTGAAGTAATGATACACAGATATTATTAGCAGAATAGATTTGATAATAACTAGTGGTGCATGGCACCGTGCCTTAAGGCAAATTTTTGGAACTTCCCATATCGCAACGAAATATTAGAGAAATATTGAATGTTGCTAAATAGATTATAATAAATACTGTGACTTTAATTATTTTTATTTTATACGCAAAATATAAGATCTTATGTATTCGACAATGATTTTACGTAAAAAGTAAATATTAAACCTTAATCAATCGGATTTAAAATAAAGACATTGTCAAATATTTTCAAAAATTATATAAACTAAATTGCAAAGTCAAAATTATTTATTTAAAGTTTATAAGTTATCTTTGGAACTTTAGCAAATTAGAAATAAAATCCGCATTATTTTCGATATACAAAAAGCATTTATTTTTGGTAAAAAAATAATGAATTTTGAAATTAAAAAAAAAAAATTTTTTTCTAAAAGCAATTGTTTCTTCAAAATAAACAGAAAGCTTTTTGAATCATTCAAATCGGATGCTTAGTTCTCTCAAAAACTGCCATCTTTGGCACATATAGCTCCGTATCTCCAAAATGGACGAACTTGCCGTTGCCAAGAACTAACCACCAATTATTCCCATCATTACAAATTGAATGTTTTTTGGAACATTCAAATCGAATGCTCGTATACGATATGATATGTGATGAATAAGAAATGTAAGTCGCTAATGCTAACCCGTGTTAGGAGCTAATTGTAAGCAACTACCGCGCATAGTAACGATAAAAACCGTCAATAATTTTTTACCTCTTATAATTTTTTCTTTGTTATTTTTTTTAAGAAAACTAACATGCTGCTAAGCAATTATTTTCATAACTCAACAAACAAACATAATTAATACAAATTAAATATATAGTGTCTCCAGTCATATGCCCGAATCTTACAAACTAACCATTTCACCCAAACTTCTACTCTAAATCTGTACATAATTGTTGTATGTAACAACTATCCTCAAAATATTGTTTCAACTAACCCCAGGTGTAATGTTTTTACATTAATCAAGATAACTTAAGTAGTTATCATTTACAATCGAAGTAAAATATATAAAATTCAAATTAATTATGATATTAATTATGATCACGCAAGCCAACATTTTATGATAGCACAATTTTATATTAAATATCAAAAATGACGAACCTACACATTTTGGTATATTGCGTCGTCCTGCAGATAATATCTATGACAATAATATTCAATACGCTTTGCATGTCATATAGAGACAAAAAAAATGTAATATGTTTCAAGATCCTATTAAAAACCTGTCACTTCTTACTCAGTTACACCAAGCCCCAAGATCTATATAATTTGCACTATAAACAAGTATACAATGTCTTAATATATAAATCAGCATTGAACTTAATTGAACTATCAGATATTGGAAATTCTTACTAATATATATGCAATTTATCTCTATTAATACCATTTGCTGCGTAACTATGACAATAGCAAAGAATAAATTTCAGGTGTAGATGCTTATACTGGCGAGCCTATTTCAGGATCTCCTCTGCCATTTATATAACTGTGTTGCTTCTGGTTACTTGAAACTTGATTTGGTGGCAATAGTTGCGGCTTAATGTTGCTGATTGTAATGTTTTCGCTAGTCTGTATTGTAACATCAGGTTGTACAACATCGACACTTTGGCAATTATCATCTTTAATATTGCCAAGAACGTTTATTTTTGTGTAGTTGGGCACTTTTAACGGAATGTGTAATGCGTCCTCAACAGGTGGAACACGACGAGCATATCCGATCCTAATGCTACGTGGTTTGGAATTAAAATATTTTTGTGACTTTAAATAATTTTATTTTATACGCAAAATATAAATTCTTATATATTGGACAATGATTTTACATAAAAAGTAAATATTAAACCTTAATCAATCGGATTTAAAATAAAGACATTGTCAAATATTTACAAAAATTATATAAACTGAATTGCAAAGTTAAAATTATTTATTTAAAGTATATAAGTTATCTTAAGAACTTTAGCAAAAATTAGAAATAAAATCAAATGCTCCGTTCTCTCAAAAACTCAAATTCTATTTTTTGCACTCTTAGCTTCATATGTCCGAAACACTTGGACTTGCCTTTGCCAAAAACTAATCAGCAGATCTCCCTATCAATAAAAATCGAATGCTTTTGAACCATTCAAATCGGTTCATTCGTGCGCCCAAAAATGTAGACAAAAAATGGCGAACAAAAAACACACACATATGCATTTGTGTTTTCACATTTGTAAATGTTCAGACGATTACAATAACTTACCCTACGGGAAGTTAATAAATTATTAAAAATCAGTCCAACTATTTTACACAATCAAATATTCATTCATATAATAAGCATGTGGCGGAAATAGCTCACTCAGTCGTATTCTCTACTCACTTCAACTCAAATTCCCGGCAATAACGGAATTAGAAAAAGTAAAGTAGGAATTATAAGTAACTCACACGCTAGGTGTATTCAGTCCGAATCCCCGACAATAACAGGATTAGAAATTGGAATAAAAATAAAAATTGAAGTAGAATAACAATTGCGGATTTGTAGTATAGAAAATTTTATTAGGAGTACGAAGAAAAATAAGTTAAGTTTAGAAAATGAGATGAGAAAAAATTTAATAGGATAAAAAATAAGAAAAAATAGGATGATAAAAGAAAGAGATACTATAGGATATACCTATATAACAATTGTATACGATATGATATGGGATAAATAAGAAATATAAGTCGCTAATGCTAACCAGTGTTAGGAGCTAATTGTAAGCATCTACCGGGCATAGTAACGATAAAAATCGTCAATAATTTTTTACCTCTTATAATTTTTTCTTTGTTATTTTTTTTAAAAAAAAAACTAACATGTTGCTAAGCAATTATTTTCATAACTCAACAAAAAAAACATAATTAATACAAATTAAATATATAGTGTCTCCAGTGGCCCGAATCTTACAAACTATACATTTCACCCAAACTTCTACACTAAATCTGTACATAATTGTTGTATGTAACAACTATCCTCAAAATTTTGTTTCAACTAAGCCCAGGTGTAATGTTTTTACATTAATCAAGATAACTACTTAAATAATTTACAATCATAAAGTTGTTACGCATTACCAAATATTGATAAATTTGAGAAATTAATTATGATATTAATTATGATCACGCAAGTGAACATTTTATGATAGCACAATTTTATATTGAATATCAAAAATGACGAACCTTCACATTTTGGTATATTGCGTCATCCTGCAGATAATATCTATGACAATATTATTCAATACGATTTACATGTCATATAGAGACAAAAAAAATGTAATATGTTTCAAAATCCTATTAAAAACTTGTTACTACTTACTCAGTTTCACGAAGCCCCAAGATCTATATAATTTGCACTATAAACAAGTATACAATGTCTTAATATATAAATCAGCATTAAACATAATTGAACTATCAGATATTGGAAATTCTTACTAATATATATGCAATTTATCTCTATTAATACCATTTGCAGTGTGACTATGACAATAACAAAGAATAAATTTCAGGTGTAGATGCTTATACTGGCGTGCCTATTTCAGGATCTCCTCTGCCATTTATATAACTGTGTTGCTTCTGGTTACTTGAAACCTGATTTGGTGGCAATAGTTGCGGCTTAATGTTGCTGATGGTAATGTTTTCGCTAGTCTGTATTATAACATCAGGTTGTACAACATCGACGCTTTGGCAATTATTATCTTTAATATTACCAAGAACGTTTATTTTTGTGTAGTTGGGCACTTTTAACGGAATGTGTAATGCGTCTTCAACAGGTGGAACACGACGAGCATATCCGATCCTAATGCTACGTGGTTTGGAATTAAAATATTTTTGTGAACATTCTCTATCTGCCTTAGTCGTTGTTTGTGCTGCTACATCATCAGCATCATTCAAATTGAAGGTGTTACTCGCAAGATAATCATTATCATCATATATAACAGAATTGATAGTTTTTACTACACCAGATTTCAATGAAAAATTTGAATCACTCATATTCCGTTCGTTGCAATCAAGTTCCAGAATTTCTACACCTGCTGCTGAATTTGCTGTATAACCAGCGATATGCGACGATGATTCAGTTTTGTCCATTTGACACGAATATGAACTGTCAGTAGACATGACTTCAATGTTGTCAACAAGATTTGCATGTCGCTTTGATACATTCAAACTTTTATTGAAAATTTGATCTATTGTGCGAATCCCCGGATTCGGTTCAGGACTATTGCTCGAACGCTGACGTATATGTCTTTTATGCACAGGCGTCGAAGATAGAGAGCTATTCACAGAACTATTTCTATAGGTGTTATTATAATAATTTTCTTTGTCAATGTAATAGTAATAGGGATCTGTGCAATCATTCATATTTATTTTGTTATCACTGGCTGTCGAGAATTGTTTGCTCGGTTTCGCATAGTTAACGATAGTATCGCTATGTTGTTTTGTATCGATATCTTTAACAGTTAAAGTTTCTAACCAGTCGGGTTTTCTAAAATTTTCGACATTTTCTGGCTCAAATATATCATTGGCATTTGTACTTCGGCAAGAATTTTTCATTCGATAATTCATTGTTTTTGGCGATTGTTCATCAGAAGAAAGAATACTAAGTAAGTTGTCAGAACTGTCGGTGCTCTCTCTCATAGGAGATTGATACATATGAGTTTCATCCGGTTTTACAACTTTGTTACGATTATCTGAATTTTCATACATCACAGTACTTATATTCTTGTTCTCATTTGTGACTGAATTTTGAATATTATTATCATTATCCACAAAGTTATTCAGTGCCATATTTAATCTGTTGACAAGACAATTTAAAATTAGACTAGTAGTAAAATTAGGTCACACACTTATAGTAAAACAAAATTATAAACATCGAAGCAAAATTAGGCAAATAGCAATAAACATCATGCTTACAATAATAACAAAATTTATTGTATTAAATTGAGAAATAATAAATAGCAATAATTGTTTTTAACCTACAAAACTGTACTGCCAACAACAACTATGTATTATTACTATGAATGACACTAGTAACTGGATATTTTCGAGAAAGAAGGGCTAAAAAATTAATCGATGTATGCACCTCAAATAAATTGTTAAATAAAAATTAATAAATTAAACAGTTCTATGTCCTGTTGTAAAGGGCTCCTCAACAACTTCGCTTATTGAATGCAACCCAACGTTTGACCTATATATATATATATATATATATATATATATATATATTTATATATATAAATATATATATATATATATATATATATATATATATATATATAGCGAGAGGTTTTTCTTCAGATGGTGAAATAATATGATAAAATTGTTTCTTGGGCATCCATCCAGTAATTAAAAAACAGTTTTATTGAAAAATGTTTTTATTTAGAGAAACATACGTTTCGGGTCTTGATTTGACCCATCTTCAGTGCTACAAATAAATATTTCAGGGATACAAATTAAAACAATATAAAAAATACATAATTACAGACAAAAATAAGTAGAACAATGTATATGAGAAGTATAAATGAAAAACAACCATAAAATAAAACAAATGTAAAGAAACTCACCATACAAATAAGTTTAAAAAAATAACACAAAAAACACAACAAAAGTGCACTAAAAAATAATTAAATATGAAATAAAAAATTGATAAGACATCTTATAGACAGTTATGAATTTTTTTTAAAAAAATAGTAAAATTAAAATAAATAATATATTTTATTATGAAAAAGGTTTTTCCAAACGAACATGTTGTCAGTTTGGAGACCGTGTTACGTGTGTGTAACGAGAGTAAAATGTGTGCGTACGTGTTAGCGGAAAATAGTGGAAAATGTATCGTCATTGGATGAGAGAACGGGATAGAGAGAGTTTTAGTGGTTTCATATTACGAAGATTTTCTCAGCGATCATGCGCAGTAGGAACATAGAAAAAAATTTTAAATGTGTAAGCAATCCATAATCAAACGGTTAACATATCTGGATAAAAATGAAATTATATGTGGATCAAAATGAAAATATAGAACAAAATAAAAACATTATAGAACAATGTAAAAAATATGTGACAAAGAGAAATTTGTTAAGAAAAACTATAGATATTAACTGAAAACTAAAATAGTTATGAAACAAGTTATTATATAAACAAATATAACATAAAACATATATGTATATATACGCAAAACAATAAATGTATTTATGCATACACATACACAAACATACATATGCAAGCACATGTAGACATACTTATACAACATATATGTAAAACCCATATATATACACAAATACATACATATATGCATATACATATGTATACATCCACAACATAAACATGCATATATATATATATACATATACATACACAACATAAATGCACATACATACATATATATATATATATATATATATATATATATATACATAAAAGAAATGTTAGGATGTATTGCGCATATTGAAAAAAATATTCGAAGCATCGCGGTAAATATTGCAAAGAGAAGCCGAATCAAAACGTTTGTTAATAGCAGGTAATATTTGTATGAAAATACACTCAGCGAAGTTCCTGCGTAAAGTGTTGGCTTGTCGATGAATAATTCTTGGATTGGTGAAATTAAAAGAATGTTTAAAATTGGAGACATGTTCAGTGATCATAGTTTTATTTTGTTTCCTGTTTAGACTATCAAGTTCATGTTGGCGCATTCTTCTTGAGAGAAATTGTGAAGTTTCTCCAACATAACAACTTGAACAATCATTACAATCAATGACATATACGACGTTTGATGTGCGGGAAATAGGGGTAGGAGTTTTTAAATTAGTGTATAAGTCTGTGAGAGTGTGTCCAGTCGAACACACTAGCTTCAGACCAACGGATGAAAAAAGTTTTTTCCATGAGTGGAAAAGGCAATCAATGTACGGTAATGAGATGAAGGAATTGAGAGATAGTGAATTTTCAGGAACAGGGTTAAGGGTTTGTGAAGTGATGCTATTTTGTTGTGATTGGGAGGTAAATAAGGAAGATGTACGGAATTTGTTACGAAGAAAAGGTAATCTATTATTAATTACTGAGCGTAAAAGTTGTAATGGATAGGAATTATTTTGAAGGGTAGAATATATCAAATTAATATTTTTTTTCCCAATGTGATGGATGAGAAAGAAGGATGGCATGATCTAGTAAGTTGATGATAGATGCAATCTTAGTCGATTTGGGGTGATAGGAATGGTAGTTTAAATAACGTCCGGACCAAGTGGATTTTTGATACCAACATGTAGTGATGGAGCCGTTATTTATAAAAAGGATAATATCTAAAAAATTAATGGAGTTGTTAAGTTGGGTCTCTACGGTAAAACAAATGTGTATGTCCAAATTATTAAAAGAATTTAGGAAATTGGTTATGTTATAAGTAGGAATGCAAGTTAAAATGTCATCAACGTAACGTTTGTGAAAAAGAGGTACAAAAGACAAGGTATTAAGAGTAGAGTTCTCTAGAAACTGCATACAAAGTTCAGCAAGTGAGGCACTCAAACTGGAACCCATTGGAGTGCCAAATTTTTGTTTAAAAAAGCAGTCGTTGAACGGAAAAAAGTATTGGAAATAATGAATTTAATACATTTCAAGAACCAAGAAAAATTGAAATCTGTGTGTTTACTTATATCAACCCATTTATGGTCTATGGCAGAGAGAATAAGGTCAGGTGAAATGTTAGTGAAGAGGGAAACAACATCTAAACTAATAAAGGAAAAATCAGATGGTACATTGAGGGAGTTAAGTTTGGGAATGAGTTCGAAAGAATTTTTGACAAAATGGGGAGAATCATGAGTGATATTGGATAAAATTGAACTAATAAATTTGGATAAGTTGCAAAGAGGGGAATTTAAGTCAGCAACTATTGGTCGAAGAGGAAAACCATCTTTGTAGATTTTGGGAAGACATTAAAGTTTTGGAGAAATGGGATTGTAGGTTTTTAATTGTAGAGAGAGAGGTTTGGGAATTTGCTTGTTTTCTATGAGTGAATTAATGAATTTCAAAGTATTCCGATCTATAACGTCGGTGGGATCTGAAATTAAAGGTTCGTAAATGTTTGTATCAGCTAGGAGGGACATGGATTTGGATATATAGTCAACTTTGTTCATGATAACAGTGATGTTACCTTTGTCTGCCCTGGTAACAACAATTTCTGGGTGTTGTTTGATAAAGGATTTGCAAAAGTGGATGTCTTTGAGTAATTCTTTATGTTGATGAATGTTAGTAATGTCGAATTTGAAAAAAGAATTAAGTTGGTTGCAAAAAATAGATTTAATGCGGTTTTTTTTCATTGATATCTTTTAAATTACGTGAACTATATTCTAAAGAGCTAAGTGTTTTGACAAAATTAAACGATTTTTCTGTTGTGGAATGGAAAATTTAGGACCTAGTGCTAAAATGTTCAAAACATTGGATGGGATGTCTAAATCGGAACTGTTTTTGACCCGATATTGATGATATCGGGGTTTATAATTATTTTGGATTCATTTGCCTTTTTCGAATAAAGGTTATTGAATATTTTATGAAGGATTTTTTTGACATATTAAAAGAATTATTGAATCTAGAGTTTTCGAAATCTAAAAAATTGTTAATGTCAATGTGATTATTAATAGTGGAAAATAAGGATTGGATGTTATAATTTAAAGATTTATTTATGTTATCAATAGAGGTAATGCAATGATTGATTTTTAGATTCAGCAACATAAAAGAGAAGGAAAGCTTTTTATTTTTAAAATAATTGGAATTTAGATGATCAAAGTTTGTTAATTTGAAATCAAAGGATTTTGGTAGAAGTTTTTCTTTGCGACAATGAAGTAAAAAAGTTCTTTTGTTGGTGACGATAGCCAATGTTGAGAAAAGATTTGAAATAGTTTTAAATAATATGAGTTTAGTAGGTCCATAGCAATGGAAAATGTATTCGAAAAAAGATGGAAAAGAGTAAGGAATGCAATGTGTAAAACTATTATGAAAATAATTGTTGTAACGGTAAATTGGCGAATTAATGAAATTATTATAACTCTGTGTGTAAGTTGGATAATGATAAGAGGAACGATTATTATGTCTCACCTTATTTGTATGGAGAGCGCTATTTACATACATAGCATTGAAATTATAGTTATTTTGAAAATTCATGTTGTTAAAAATTAAAAAAACACTTGTAAAAGTTCTTGAAAATGATCAAAATCTTGGATTTGTACCTTCAGTGTAGTATTGGTTCTGAGTGTCCTAACAAGAAAGTCTTGATATGTAGGCTTGCAAAAAATCTTGAGAAAAATTGTTGAGTTTTGAAACTTGTAGACAAAAAATCTTGAATATTTTATGTTAAAATTGTCCAAATTTTCGGCCCTTGGATTATATAAAGCGAGAGGTTTTTCTTCAGATGGTGAAATAATATGATAAAATTGTTTTTCGGGCATCCATCCAGTAATTAAAAAAACACTTTTATTGAAAAATGTTTTTATTTAGAGAAACATTCGTTTCGGGTCTTGATTTGACCCATCTTCAGTGCTACAAATAAATATTTCAGGGATACAAATTAAAACAATATAAAAAATACATAATTACAGACAAAAATAAGTAGAACAATGTATATAAAAAGTATATATGAAAAACAACCATAAAATAAAACAAATGTAAAGAAACTCACCATACAAATAAGTTTTAAAAAATAACACAAAAAACACAACAAAATTGCACTAAAAAATAATTAAATATGAAATAAAAAAATGATAAGACATCAAGTTATGAATTTTTTTTAAAAAAATAGTAAAATTAAAATAAATAATA